TCACTGAGTTGTTTTTTGGACTTTGCTTTGTTGACTGTTGGCTCTCTATTCACTGTGGGTGTCGCGGAGAAGGAACACGATATCGCGATCGGGCCGGTCACAGTCACAAGTCACAGCTGATCTTCCAGAGTCACGTCACATCTCAGCTGTTCGTGCAGAGTCGCTTCATGTCTCAGCTATTCATCCAGAGTCAAGTCACGTCTCAGCTGTTCGTCCAGAGTCACGTCATGTCACAGCTGATCTTCCAGTCTCATCACGTCACAGCTGATCATCCAGAGTCATGTCATGTCTCAGCTGTTCGTCTAGAGTCACGTCACAGCTGATCGTCCAGAGTCTCGTCACTTCCCGTTTGTTGCACTCAGATCTTCGAGGTCAGGTCTTCAGTATCCCAGACTGGCATCCAGCGTGGAGGATCCACCACTGGTGTCAGCAGTCGGAGCTGGTATCCCCAAATTCATTCACTCTAGCCCTCCTGTTCCTGATCTGATTCCCTTGTCTGTAGCGCTTCCCATAATGGGGATCGCTTTATGGAGTGTATGGGCTGCATACACCACCACTGAGACTCTTGAAACAGCGGCGCCTACTATGATGTTTCCAGAGGTGGCGGCTGATGCTGCAGAACCTCCCAAGGTAGTGGAGTTCGCTGCTGTTTCCCCAGAGGCGATGGCGCCCGCTGCAGCTTCTCCAGAGGTGTGCTGCAGAACCTCTCGAGGCGGCGGCGCTCGCTTCAACTCCTTGTACGGTGGTAGCGCCCAGCAAGGCACTCTCAACCTGTCATGTCGTAGTCGAAGGAACCGTTAATAAACACTCCCTATTTCTTGATGGTACTGCTGTAGAACCTCCAGAGGTGGCAGCATCCGCTAGAGAACCTCCAGAGGTGTCAGTAGTATCCGTCTGTGAATCCTCGTCCTGTCCTGTCACGGCTATGGAGGCCGTCTGCGAAGCCTCGTCCTGTCCTGTCTCGGCTATGGCGGCCGTCTGTGAACTCTTTGCCTGTCCTGTCATGGCTATGGAGGCCGTCTGCGAATCCTCGTCCTGTCTTACACCACCACAGATCTGCCCGAGGTGGCGACGTCCACTGTGATGTCTCCAGAGGAGGCGGCTGACGCTGCAGAATCTCTTGGGGTAGTGACGCTCGCTGCTGTGTTCTCCGAGGCGATGGCACTCGCTGCAGCTTCTCCAGAGGTGGTGGCTCAGGCTGCAGAACCTTCCGAAGCAGCGGTGCTCGCTTCAGCTCCTTGTACGGTGGTGGCGCCCAGCAAGGCACTCTCAGCCTGTCATGTCGTAGTCGAAGGAACCGTTAATGAACTCTCCCTATTTCCTGATGGTACTGCTGTAGAACCTCCAGAGGTGGCAGCATCCGCTAGAGAACCTCTAGAGCTGTCAGTAGTATCCATCTGTGAATCCTCGTCCTGTCCTGTCACGGCTATGGAGGCCATCTGTGAACTCTTTGCCTGTCCTGTCACGGCTATGGAGGCCGTCTGCGAATCCTCGTCCTGTCCTGTCACGGCTATGGAGGCCATCTGTGAACTCTTTGCCTGTCCTGTCACGGCTATGGAGGCCGTCTGCGAATCCTCGTCCTGTCCTGTCACGGCTATGGAGGCCATCTGTGAACTCTTTGCCTGTCCTGTCACGGCTATGGAGGCCGTCTGCGAATCCTCGTCCTGTCCTGTCACGGCTATGGAGGCCATCTGTGAACTCTTTGCCTGTCCTGTCACGGCTATGGAGGCCGTCTGCGAATCCTCGTCCTGTCCTGTCACGGCTATGGAAGTCGTTTGTGAATCCGTCTGTGAATCCTCGTCCTGTCCTGTCACGGCTATGGAGGCCATCTGTGAACTCTTTGCCTGTGCTGTCACGGCTATGGAGGGCGTCTGCGAATCCTCGTCCTGTCCTGTCA